GAAAGCTCTTAAGCTTGGTTTGAAGAGATAACGGAGGCAAACAGTGGAGTTGCTCCTCTTATATACCCACAAGGGGTGCCCACCATTGGTGGGCATACATTTAAGTTCTTCATGATTGGCTGATGCTGAGATCATCCTTCCAATAGCAGCTAGCTTAAGGGCTAAGACTAGACGAAATAGAACTATGTTTCATCTAATTATGGTAAATGGGTTGTTGTCCTAGTCCCTACCAGAATCAGCAGCTGATGATATGTCAGCAGGTGTCCCCTCACAACCCAATGAACCTCAAGAAGGTGAGCAATGTTGCATGTTAGCTAGCAGCCTCATTTAAGGGGGTCTGTGGGAATCACTTAAGGCTCTCTTCTTAATAGGAATATAAAAAGGCTATTTTTGGTGATAAACACATTGTTTCCCCACATAATGATAATTATATATATCAATCAGTAAAAATGTAGGAAGATGTCACATCCTGTCCTGTTTCCCCATTTTGTTCAACCTGCGTCTCTGTTAATTGCTCCCACCTGCCTCTCGTTTTCCAATCACCCAAGCTCCCACCCCGCTTGTATTTAAACCCCTCCAGTTCTGTGTCTCTGGTTGGCTCGTTGTTCCCATGTCCTGCGCGTGTTTATCATTAAAAGACTTTACCTGTCCCAGGTTGTCTGCCTGCCTGATTGCTCCCCAGCGTTTGGATCCTTACATCCGCTCCACTCACCAGCACGTCGTGACAGAAGACAGCTGAAAATGTAGTTATGTAAAGCTTTGACACAACATGGAAATTTAATTAGATATCCAAATTTGAATTTTATCATCAAATACAATTTTAGAATAAATAAACACATTTTTAGGGAGTAATAGGGAAAAGGAGATTAACACCTTTCAGCATTTCCTGCTTTTTCCAGCAGTGATATTGCTAATTCTGTTGAAGGAAATTCACTGTTTAATGAGAGACAGCTGGTGAAAATGATATGTAAATAAGTAAGAATGCATGTAGACCTACACAATTAAGCAAAACTGAAACACTAATATAAAGTATATATATTATATTTTTTTCTCCCTTCGAATCTGGGAGTTTGGAACCCCAGCTCCAGCTATGGACAAGCCCCCAGGGGGCCCAACTTGATATTTTTTCATGGGGCCCAAAATCTCTGGCAGCCCCCCTGGTAACGTCACATATCAACATGCTGCCCCTGGAGTCTGCTTACAGCACTTGATGAGGGGACCAGGTGTGATGAATGAAGGCTGATGAGATGAGTGATGGTGCATGCATGGCAGGATCATGACAGTCTTACCTCCACACGCTCTGTCTTTCCTTTTGTTGGTGTGGTTCATGCGCGGTGCGCGCTCCTGCATAAAATCCTGCGTCCTTGCTGGATTAACAGCCACTGCTTTCTCTTCACAAACAGTTTAATTTAAGATTTAAACATGAAACGGAAAACCGTCAGCAACGTGGGACAGAGTTTTGATTTGCGGATAATTCTGGTCTCCCTTTACATGTCAGAGTCCAAGCCCCCAGGCCGGGCTCTCCCAGCTGACCGGCTTCCGTCTTGGACCACATTACCCAGCATGCCCCTCGCGGGGATTCCCTCTACGTTTCACCTGCGTCAATCCATGTCTATATATGGAAGACGCTACACCGGCTCTTCACTCAGTCATCGTTCCACCGTGATCCATGATCAGAGTAGTTCCAAAGCTACTACAGCTAAACCTCCACCTTTCCTCCTCAGACCTCATCCGTCAGCCTTTCCAGCACCGCTTTCAGCCCACCGTCTGTATAATAAAAGCTCTTACTCCCGAACCCAGTCTTCGAGTCTGACAGTATGACTGAGTCCATTAATCCAGCGGAGTTCGAGCAGATGAAGAGAAAGATGGAGCAACATATTAAGCATTTTCAGGTCAGAGTATTGTTCCTGTTAGTGTTTAGTGTGAGATGATAGTAAATATTCCCTTTCTTTCTCCAACAAATTTACCTGATAGTAAGCTAGCTTTAGGTAGTGATGGGACGAACGACACTGGCGCGTCAGCACAGTGTCGACTGCACAAGAGTGAAACCCCGTATCGGTGCGTGTATCGCTTTAAGAAAATATCACGTGACCGACACAGGATTGTGTGTCGTTTGGATGCGCCGCGCCAAATTGTGTTTATAAGGAAGCAAACTGTATCGACATGTTGCGGATTTGTTGGTTAGAGTTTTGCTGTTTGCTGTTTGATTTTGGATTTTTCCTTACCTCACGCTCACTTCTCTCCGCTGACTTCATGGATCGTTCCAAGAAGTTTTCCCCAGTCTGGAATAATTTTGATCTTTTGACGCCAAAAAAGGTAAATTGTTTTCTCCATTTGGCAACGTTTACTGTTATTTCTGTATTGTAAATGTGTTTGTAGTAGTGATGGAATGATGATACCTCAAGGAGTGTATTGACACACTAGACAAACTGTGTCGGCACTGTACTGACACTGTGTTGGTCACTCAATAGCGACACCTGCAGTATTTCTAAAATCATTGCAGGTAAATAAGATGGAAAAGCTTACATGCTGCAAACCCACACCAGGTGTGCAAAATTTAATTTCCTGTAATCAAAATATATCATTATGTAATTTAATTTACTCAATTTAAGTTAAGTTGTTTATGAAAGGAGTTTAACATTTGCTTATAACCTTTGTGTAAATGTTACAATGAGTTGGCATGTTAAATCTGAATGTGTCTAATAAAAATCAGAAGTAAAAGTTTTAACTTATGTAAATGTGTTAACCTCTGTGTTAGATCATACAAAATAAAAGACTAAATATGGATTCATTTATGCATTTTTATTGAGGAACAAAAGTTTGTGCAGTGTGTTTGCTCCAAGGCGATTTCTCCTCTTAGACACCAGTTCCCCTGCCTTAGAAAACACTCTTTCACAGGGTACAGATGAAGATGGTGTGCATAAGAATTGAAGTGCGAGTTGATAAAGGTGTGGATATAAATTCTGGTTATTTTTCCAATATTGTAATGGGTCTTGTGTTCTCGGTGCATTTCTTTCAGCCAGGTAGCGTTGGACTTCAATTATGGAATTGGCTGTAGTATTAGAGGTCATCCTGCTCTCCTCAACCTCCATATCAAGGTGCCTCCAGAGATTGTGTCCTAACAAATAAATTGGAAATAAGTCTGTTAATCATTGGTTTACTATCACATGACAAACTTCCGCAGAAATAAACAAATATTCACAAAGAAATGTGTTTTCATACCTGAACTGTGTTCTGATCCACGTGAAGTGCTAGGCTCCTCTACTGCTGGGTCAGGCTCATGGCTCCTCATTTCAGCAGCACACTCTGACTTCAGTCTCTTGACAGCTTCAGTTGCTTTCAGTGGACTAAAAAAGCCAGCAGTTTTAAACCTGGGGTCCAACAATGTTGCCAGTGACATCACACTGAGCGATTCCATGTTGCAGATGGACTCGGTTAGCCGCTTTGACAGATTTTCAGCCAGCTGTTTAGCAGTGGGTTTTGTCACCGTTGAAGATTGATGTTGAAGCTCAATGTGGATCATTCTCATCAATGGAATAACCTTTGACCCCGAGACTCTTTTTTCCTCAGAGAGTTCTCTTGTGGCTTGGTAAAAAGGAGCAAGCACCCTGAGCATCTCTTCAATGATTTCAAATTCTTCTGGAGTCAGTGGAGTGAGATCAGTTTTTAATGAGGCCAGTGACACCCAGACTGCCTCCTTCTGCTCAGTCAGTCTCTCCAGCATGTGGTAGGTGCTGTTCCATCGTGTCGGCACCTCATTTATTAATTTATGCAATGGTGTTCCCAGCTGTTGCTGCATTTGAGTGAGCTTTTCCTTGGCCATGGTGCTTGATCGAAAGTATGTCACAATTTGCCGTGCTTTGTTGCGTAGTTCTGTTAGTGTTGAGATTTGATCACATGATTTTCTTACAATTAAATTTATGGAATGGGCAATGCAAATGGTTTGCCGTACTTGCAGCATTCGAGCACATGCAATCATGTTTGCTGCTGCATCAGTGACAAGACACCTGACTTTGCCTGCTATGCCCCACTCCTCCATGAGGCTCCTTTTAACTGTGGCCATGTTTTCTGCAGTGTGTTTCTGAGGGAAATGCTGCACTCCCAAGACTGATGAACAGAGTTCATGGCTTTCTTTGTCCACATAGTGGCAAGTAACGGCAAGATATGCCTCCATATTAATGGATGTCCACATATCAGCTGTTAAACTAACAGCAATGACGCTCTGGAGGTCCTTTTTTGTTTTCTCCTTTTCCTCTTCATATTTCTGGCTCACCAAGTCCTTGATGACCTACAAGTAAACATACCAATACTGTAATACCAATGTTACATAAACACACACACACACACACACACACACACACACACACACCATGAAAGTAGTTGATTAATTAAAGCAAACATTTCTTAAACATACCTTCCTGCTTGGTAGAACATATGAGGGTGCAATAAGCTTCAGGAGCTCCCTGAATCCCTCATTTTCAACAATGGTGAGTGGCTGGCAGTCTTTGATGATCATGTTAACCACAGCATCATCCACTGCTTGCTTGTTAGGAACTGCAAGCCAAAAGGAAATACTTTTTTAAAAGCTTTAAAAAGCTTATGAAAAGGATTTTACAAGCAATACTACAGAGTCACACAAAGCCTTTTGTGTGTAATAGACTAATTTTGACAATTCAGATTTTTTGGTGATAATTTCAACATACCTGGGGTATCTACCAATTCATCGTTGCCATGCCGAGCTCTATAATGCCTCAGCATTGATGAAGTGCTCTTATTTGAGTAAGACAGCTCTGTGGAGCAGAGCCGACACTTCACCTACAATAAAATAAATAGTTAATTTATCTGAAAACAATTTAAGCCTCTTACCAGAGAAAGACTACAAACACATTTACAATACAGAAATAACAGTAAACGTTGCCAAATGGAGAAAACAATTTACCTTTTTTGGCGTCAAAAGATCAAAATTATTCCAGACTGGGGAAAACTTCTTGGAACGATCCATGAAGTCAGCGGAGAGAAGTGAGCGTGAGGTAAGGAAAAATCCAAAATCAAACAGCAAACAGCAAAACTCTAACCAACAAATCCGCAACATGTCGATACAGTTTGCTTCCTTATAAACACAATTTGGCGCGGCGCATCCAAACGACACACAATCCTGTGTCGGTCACGTGATATTTTCTTAAAGCGATACACGCACCGATACGGGGTTTCACTCTTGTGCAGTCGACACTGTGCTGACGCGCCAGTGTCGTTCGTCCCATCACTAGTTTGTAGTCTTTCTCTGGTAAGAGGCTTAAATTGTTTTCAGATAAATTAACTATTTATTTTATTGTAGGTGAAGTGTCGGCTCTGCTCCACAGAGCTGTCTTACACAAATAAGAGCACTTCATCAATGCTGAGGCATTATAGAGCTCGGCCTGGCAACGATGAATTGGTAGATACCCCAGGTATGTTGAAATTATCACCAAAAAATCTGAATTGTCAAAATTAGTCTATTACACACAAAAGGCTTTGTGTGACTCTGTAGTATTGCTTGTAAAATCCTTTTCATAAGCTTTTTAAAGCTTTTAAAAAAGTATTTCCTTTTGGCTTGCAGTTCCTAACAAGCAAGCAGTGGATGATGCTGTGGTTAACATGATCATCAAAGACTGCCAGCCACTCACCATTGTTGAAAATGAGGGATTCAGGGAGCTCCTGAAGCTTATTGCACCCTCATATGTTCTACCAAGCAGGAAGGTATGTTTAAGAAATGTTTGCTTTAATTAATCAACTACTTTCATGGTGTGTGTGTGTGTGTGTGTGTGTGTGTGTGTGTGTGTGTGTGTGTGTGTGTGTTTATGTAACATTGGTATTACAGTATTGGTATGTTTACTTGTAGGTCATCAAGGACTTGGTGAGCCAGAAATATGAAGAGGAAAAGGAGAAAACAAAAAAGGACCTCCAGAGCGTCATTGCTGTTAGTTTAACAGCTGATATGTGGACATCCATTAATATGGAGGCATATCTTGCCGTTACTTGCCACTATGTGGACAAAGAAAGCCATGAACTCTGTTCATCAGTCTTGGGAGTGCAGCATTTCCCTCAGAAACACACTGCAGAAAACATGGCCACAGTTAAAAGGAGCCTCATGGAGGAGTGGGGCATAGCAGGCAAAGTCAGGTGTCTTGTCACTGATGCAGCAGCAAACATGATTGCATGTGCTCGAATGCTGCAAGTACGGCAAACCATTTGCATTGCCCATTCCATAAATTTAATTGTAAGAAAATCATGTGATCAAATCTCAACACTAACAGAACTACGCAACAAAGCACGGCAAATTGTGACATACTTTCGATCAAGCACCATGGCCAAGGAAAAGCTCACTCAAATGCAGCAACAGCTGGGAACACCATTGCATAAATTAATAAATGAGGTGCCGACACGATGGAACAGCACCTACCACATGCTGGAGAGACTGACTGAGCAGAAGGAGGCAGTCTGGGTGTCACTGGCCTCATTAAAAACTGATCTCACTCCACTGACTCCAGAAGAATTTGAAATCATTGAAGAGATGCTCAGGGTGCTTGCTCCTTTTTACCAAGCCACAAGAGAACTCTCTGAGGAAAAAAGAGTCTCGGGGTCAAAGGTTATTCCATTGATGAGAATGATCCACATTGAGCTTCAACATCAATCTTCAACGGTGACAAAACCCACTGCTAAACAACTGGCTGAAAATCTGTCAAAGCGGCTAACCGAGTCCATCTGCAACATGGAATCGCTCAGTGTGATGTCACTGGCAACATTGTTGGACCCCAGGTTTAAAACTGCTGGCTTTTTTAGTCCACTGAAAGCAACTGAAGCTGTCAAGAGACTGAAGTCAGAGTGTGCTGCTGAAATGAGGAGCCATGAGCCTGACCCAGCAGTAGAGGAGCCTAGCACTTCACGTGGATCAGAACACAGTTCAGGTATGAAAACACATTTCTTTGTGAATATTTGTTTATTTCTGCGGAAGTTTGTCATGTGATAGTAAACCAATGATTAACAGACTTATTTCCAATTTATTTGTTAGGACACAATCTCTGGAGGCACCTTGATATGGAGGTTGAGGAGAGCAGGATGACCTCTAATACTACAGCCAATTCCATAATTGAAGTCCAACGCTACCTGGCTGAAAGAAATGCACCGAGAACACAAGACCCATTACAATATTGGAAAAATAACCAGAATTTATATCCACACCTTTATCAACTCGCACTTCAATTCTTATGCACACCATCTTCATCTGTACCCTGTGAAAGAGTGTTTTCTAAGGCAGGGGAACTGGTGTCTAAGAGGAGAAATCGCCTTGGAGCAAACACACTGCACAAACTTTTGTTCCTCAATAAAAATGCATAAATGAATCCATATTTAGTCTTTTATTTTGTATGATCTAACACAGAGGTTAACACATTTACATAAGTTAAAACTTTTACTTCTGATTTTTATTAGACACATTCAGATTTAACATGCCAACTCATTGTAACATTTACACAAAGGTTATAAGCAAATGTTAAACTCCTTTCATAAACAACTTAACTTAAATTGAGTAAATTAAATTACATAATGATATATTTTGATTACAGGAAATTAAATTTTGCACACCTGGTGTGGGTTTGCAGCATGTAAGCTTTTCCATCTTATTTACCTGCAATGATTTTAGAAATACTGCAGGTGTCGCTATTGAGTGACCAACACAGTGTCAGTACAGTGCCGACACAGTTTGTCTAGTGTGTCAATACACTCCTTGAGGTATCATCATTCCATCACTAGCTTTAGGCAAACCAGCAGCACAACAAATATTTTCAAATAAGACTCACAAACCTGAGTCAACACCAGTCTCATCAAAGCTGGGGTTCTGTCGCCGTACTTTTGGTCTAAAAAACGTCCTTATGTCCATCTTCACTCATGCGTTTCAGGCAGAGAGTGCAGAAGAAGCCGGCTGCTGAAGGGCTTCTTCTTCAGTGGTGGAGGCTCAGGCAGGCTGTATACAAACTACTGCCAGCTGCTCCCTCTCTGTTGGACTTTGGTACTGCATGTTACTTCTGCTATTTAGATCCGGGGCTTCAGCCCAAGTAGCCAGGCCTAATGCCGCCCCTGCGTTAAACTCCCGCCCACACCCGTAGTGTGCATATCTACTCCCGCCCGCACCCGTAGTGTGCATATCTACTCCCGCCCGCACCCGTAGTGTGCATATCTACTCCCGCCCGCACCCGTAGTGTGCATATCTACTCCCGCCCGCACCCGTAGTGTGCATATCTACTCCCGCCCGCACCCGTAGTGTGCATATCTACTCCCGCCCGCACCCGTAGTGTGCATATCTACTCCCGCCCGCACCCGTGGTGTGCATATCTACTCCCGCCCGCACCCGTAGTGTGCATATCTACTCCCGCCCGCACCCGTAGTGTGCATATCTACTCCCGCCCGCACCCGTAGTGTGCATATCTACTCCCGCCCGCACCCGTAGTGTGCATATCTACTCCCGCCCGCAACCGCAAAACTCGGAGAAATTACGCAGCTGGACCGAGCGCAATTTGTGGCAGCGGCAGCGCGAGTGGCACTTGCGTTGGCAGCTCTGACTCTTCCGGGTGGTGCCACGGCTTTTAGTGGCACCTGCCACTGCTGCCATGGCCGCTGTCACTGCTGCCACAGCTGCCACGGCCCATGCCACTGCTGCCAAGACACTTCCGGGTGGTGCCACGGCTTTTAGTGGCACCTGCCACTGCTGCCATGGCCGCTGTCACTGCTGCCACAGCTGCCACAGCCCATGCCACTGCTGCCAAGACACTTCCGGGTGGTGCCACGGCTTTTAGTGGCACTAGCCACGCCCCCTGCCTCTAAAAGTCGTGGCACCACCCGGAAGTGGTGGTGCCACGACTTTTAGTGGCACCTGCCACTGCTGCCACAGTACCTGCAGCTGCCACAGGCTGTAGTGACCTCAGTAATTGCAGCACTTATTGCATCATCGGCCTCATCATGCCAACGTTTTTATTTTTTACTTTATTAACAAAATCAAAACAAACAAGGCTGTCACCAAAAATATTTGAAATATTTCAAGCGGTTTACAAATGCATTTCCCAGTCACTCCATGCATATACAGTGTAATGCAATCAGAAGCGTTAATGCATTTATTTTTTCCATCATTTTTATTGCTCCCACAGACGAATCCGTGACAGCTCTAGTGGAAGATCCACAGACACTTCCGGGTTGAGGACCGGCGGGTCACCGGCCTCCGGTACGGAGTCAGGAAGCAGGGGAGCACCAGAGGCAGATGAAGAGCTTCCAGAGCAGTTCTCAATTTCTGAAATAATTTATGACAACTGCTACCAATGTGGATTGTGGAATAAAAAGAGATAAACTGTTAGTTTTCTCAATACTGTCATTGCAATCGCAGCAGATAACGCCATCTGCCGGCTTAAAATGGTTATTGCAGTACATTTTAAACAACTTGGAAGTGAAAAGGCTGTTTGTCACTACAACAGATTTGGGAATGTAGTTTATTGTTAATAGATATTGTGATTTTACAACAATAAAGTTTTGTATTGTGTATATAGATTTATCACTCTCTGTAATGTGAAGGGACTCCAATAAAGAAGACTTAGAACACAATAAAACTTTATTAAAACCAAGACCTATGCTGTTTAGTCTTGTACCTCAAATCTGGAGAAAACTTTGAGGTTCTTCTCATCTATGATAAAGGAACAGAACTTGTCATAGTCATTTTTATTTTCAAAAGCAAAAGTCAAATGTTCTGCTGGAGAGTCATAATCATGGTCCTCGTTCCAGCTTTGAACTGCCTCAAGGACTTCCTGCTGTTCTTCCTCATCCATGGACAGAACGGATGGCACTTTAACCATTCCCTCGAACAGTGTTCCCTTTACCCACTCGGCTGCTGCCAGCGTGTCTGCCAAAATACTGCTTTCCTGTGAAAATGACAGACACACACACACACACACACACACACACACACATATTTATATATATACATGCAATGTTTATGCATGTATGCTGAAAACCCCTCTTTGATTTCGAAGTAGAAGTTGCAAAATTCCCGGGACATCAAACACCCTCTGCCCTCACTGTAAATATATACATATGTACTATATACTATGCTTGTTATGTGTGCTTTACCTTTGGAGTGTCATCATTAATGGCCAGTTCTGCTTTTCTGTGAGGTCAGAGAAATCATAGCGTTTCAAAATTTCAGCTTATTATACATGCTCCTAACAGGAGTCAGCACCCAAATGTTACTATACCCTTCATTGTCAATGAATGGCTTGGTCTTCATAAGCAAGTCTTCTGCTTGAAAACGGCAGATGACATTTGTAGTCTGCACCCACTGAATCAGAGCCTATAAAACAATTTTACATCAAATTAATTTGGAAAAAGTTAGAATCTACATTATGCAGATCTTTGACCACATTATTATTGTGAAGGCACTATTTTCTGTTGGTGAAAATGTAATTTTAGCATCCAACTTCTTCCTGCTTGTGTTATAAAACATTACAAATACTAGTAAGTTGTGTTTTTTTATATTTATAAGTGTCATATAAACATACCTCGGGCAGAATAACATCTGTTATGAAATGAGGATCCACAGATGTAGTTCCTGAAAGTGACAGGACTCTTTCCAAATGCTGGATGATTGTTTCAGTCTGGAACAGGAAGTAATAAATATAATAAATGAACAATAAAATTATAAAATTAATTGGGAGGTTGGAGAGAAAGTCATTAAATTCTTTAGTTCTGTATAACTTCCAATGTACGTTCTTGTCAATAACACATTATTTATAAATTTTACCATGGCCAATTTACACCTTATCCTGTAGAACCATTTTAAGCCGGCAGATGGCGTTATCTGCTGCGATTGCAATGACAATATTGAGAAAACTAACAGTTTATCTCTTTTTATTCCACAATCCACATTGGTAGCAGTTGTCATAAATTATTTCAGAAATTGAGAACTGCTCTGGCGCTCTCCATCTGCCTCTGGTAATCCCCTGCTTCCTGACTCCGTACCGGAGGCCGGTGACCCGCCGGTCCTCAACCCGGAAGTGTCTGTGGATCTTCCACTAGAGCTGTCACAGATTCGTCTGTGGGAGCAATAAAAATGATGGAAAAAATAAATGCATTGATGCTTCTGATTGCATTACACTGTATATGCCTGGAGTGACTGGGAAATGCATTTGTAAACCGCTTGAAATATTTCAAATATTTTCGGTGACAGCCTTGTTTGTTTTGATTTTGTTAATAAAGTAAAAAATAAAAACGTTGGCATGATGAGGCCGATGATGCAATAAGTGCTGCAATTACTGAGGTCACTACAGCCTATGGCAGCCGCAGGTACCGTGGCAGCAGTGGCAGGTGCCACTAAAAGTCGTGGCACCACTTCCAGGTGGTGCCACGACTTTTAGAGGCAGGAGACGTGGCTAGTGCCACTAAAAGCCGTGGCACCACCCGGAAGAGTCAGAGCTGCCACTGCAAGTGCCACTCGTGCTGCCGCTGCCACAAATCGCTCCTATTACCTCACAATAAAAGAGATGTATTGAGTTTGCGTCCTCTCTGGTCCTGGAGAAAACATGTCACAACCCGCGGCTCTCTCATCCTTCTGATGCGGCTCTCTGTGCTTGTAAAATAATGAATGGATATTTAAATAAAATGTTTTATATTTTACTGAATTAATTTTATATCTGTAAGTCAATTCTATGTAAAGATTGTCTGCGTAAACCTGAACAGGTCCAACCCGGTCTTACTGTGAGACCGGGTTGACGGGTCACGCTTGTGCGTAATCATAGGCGCTTCCTGGGCTGAAGAGATTCTGGGATTCTCCTCCTGGATGTGTCGCACATTGGAGACAGGAACAAGCACTATTCAGCCAAAGTTTCATAATCAGGGAACATTTTCTAAGGGACAAGTCTCTCTGAGAGACAGGGTTTGGAAAACACTCGCTTCAGTGGGAGGAACCTTCCCGCATGCGCTCTGGTTCTGCGATGCGCTCCAAGCCCCTCTCCACAACTTCAGCTCGCTGTGCACATATGCGCTGAGCAGCTCAGATGTTCAGATGGGAATCTTTTCTTGGGTGATTTAGCTACATCTGCGATGTGTGTAACGAATAAAATGTCAGTTTGTCTGCATGCGTCGGGATAATTCTTTCTATTTTTTCTCTGTCAAAATAAACAGCCAAACACGGTAACTATCCGGGCAACACAAGCCCTGCTTTAGACTGTTTTGTTTGCTTGTGAAAATTGTTGGAAAGAGATCAAATTTAACTTGATTACCACCAGAGCCAGTGCGCCGTTATCTCCGTGGCGGTAAACGAGGGAAAAACAAATTGATCGGATCCTGCTCGTCTTTTAACACATTG